AGACTAAATGACTTGGGTGCAATGTTGCAAATGTATTTTTTCACCTTGAAGATTTAGAATTAAAACCATCCCGGATGTAGTATGCTTCGATGTAGTATGCTTTGATGAGTATTACCGCTGGGCAAACAGTTTTGAAATAGGTTTGTTAAACGTATTTGATAAAAGAAACAAGGCAGATAAAATGTGCTTTTCGGATGTGCCAAATAAAAAGAACTGTGCATACATTAATTTTCTGTTGTTAAATTTTTACGGCACTTCAGAGTCTTTCATTACTATTGTATAATAAATGTAATATTGAAATCCATTTAATTTTCTGCCATGGTAAAGCAGTCTTCTCTTGCATATCAAATAAGTAGAGTCAAGTGTACTGTTTCAAGAATTTACGTTTGGTTTCATGGTGATTGTATTTAGATTTGTACGGTTTTTTCGAAATCATAGATTCTAATACATTTGTTTTACGATTGAATGGTACTTTCGGTTACACTGGAGTAAGTGTTGCACTTTTATAATATCACAAGAATAAACGCTATTTTCAAGTATTTTTTACTTTTGTGTTCGTTTCTTTTCTGGGAGTTTTTCTGTTGAGAATATGAACATGTAGTAATAAAAGTAATGCACAGAAATGAAGTACATAAATCATATATGCAACAATGAACTCTTACCATAAAATAATTTAAAGTACTCTTAAGGGTGCATTAATCTAACACAAATAAGTAGCTACTCACCAAGCGTACCTGAGACATGAAGTTCGTAAGTAATACAAAGCCTGTTAAAATTACAGGAATATGTTAGAATAGCAATAACAAAAAGATATACGCACTTTGGATATTATTAATAAGTCTGTTGCATTAAAATGGTATTCACCTGTAGCTAACAAGAACGTATTACAAAATATTTCTTCGAAAGAAAACTTTTGATCTATCTGCACAGGAGTGTACCATGATTTATAATTGTAATTGTCAGGGTTAGGGTGAAGCACAATACCTTATTGTAAAAAAGACCGGAAGGGACAATTCAACTTCATATATTACCGATTTCATCTTCGCGAATTCACAATTTGACGCTGGTCAATTCATTTTTTCACCACACGGAATTCACGAATTCACTATTCACGATTGCAAACATCACGAATCTACGACTATAGATGCATAAATTTTACAAAGAAGTTGAAATAACATCAGCGGTCTTACGTGTTATTGAGATTTAGCTACTCCACTACAATTTTCAGCGATATTTTTCTAGTTATTAAACTGTCGATATTGTATTAAGTTAATATAATGAATAATTAATATGCCTTAGTTCTGTATATTTTTTAAATGTTCACTTGTTTGAGACATACATTTTAAAAGAGGTTTTTATGTGTTCACGAAATTGATTTTTTAACTCTTCACATAAACATCAAACGAAAGTATTTGACACGTTACATAGGAAAATAAAAGACAGTCATAAAAATAAACTAATTTCAAAAATAAGCTTTAAAGATACTGTTTGATTTCATGTTTTCGCTTCTTTTATCATAGCCACTAATTTGTTATCAGTGCACGGTATCCGTAGTTCCATTGAATTCGTGCTAATTTGTTTTGTTTTGAATGCTATAAATGTATGTTTTTCATTCAAACTCATCTCTAAATTACTTTATGCTCAACATGTCAATCATTTTTTCATCACACAATTGACGTGAACTTTAATATTCCATAGGTATGCCGACCACAGATATTTGTCTTTGTGTCTGTTTTCCTTTCCATTGGCAATGATCCAAAAAGGTGCAAAGAAAATCGTCTCAATTGCATTTTTGTATAACGCAATAAAACTCATGAATGTTATGTTGAAGAAAATAAACATGATACTTATAATGTATATATCTAACAATAATTAGATTTAGGCATACATTTTACAAGAATGAATCTACTTATAGTTTGCTTAATTATTACAAGTTAGCTTAATGTATTTTGATATTTAACTTGAATGATTTAAATGAATGCGGTATACACATATTGTCATCTAGTGTATTAAGTTTGTAAATCTTTTGTTTTAGCAGGACATAGTTAGTGAATATGTAACGCAGTACATAAAGAAGATATTTAGATATTATTATGCGAATAAAACAAGTAGGTAGTATTTCGAAAAGAAAACATTTTTGTACAATCTTGACCAGTAATAATTTGTAAAATGATTTAATTTTTCAATGAAAGCAGTATATGCCGCTTAAAGGTGCATGCCTCCCGATGAGCTAAAATGTTCCAGGGAAACCGAAGTTGAGACAAATATACTAAGATTTTAAGATAAGTAAAAATATAAGATTCAAGTAATAATTTAACTGATTTTGCAGTATCACCATGTTTCTACTGCGTGACTGATTCACTTAGGACTATTTGGGCATATTTTTGTTCCCTTCACAAAACTTTTAAAATACTTTTTTCAAAATTTTCAAAAAAGTAGCATGAATATGAAGGCATGCTACTTTAATGTTCTGGACAGATGTTTATTCTAAGGCAAAAATGAAATTGGACATAAAGAGGTAAAAATTAATTACAAATAACTTTTTTAAACATAGGATTTTTAACACTACGAAATTTTACAAAAACTAAAAAGTATAAAATGTTATATTGTGCAAAAAAAACAAAGAATAGCTTTAATCATTACTTTTAATAAATGTATAATGAAACTTAAAAGCACTGGTAGAGCAAAAGGAAATATAAACTGCAAATAAATTTTGTTCAAATTGATTTAAATTTGGAAATTACTGCGACAATTCATTTATTTTACATGTACAAAAATGTAACTAATTTCAATTGCAAGAACTGTAATGCATAGAGATTAAATGATACTATATTCAGAACATATTATAAGTCGTTCTGAAATATTTAATGACGTAGTCTTTTATTTAGAACAAAGAGGATAACATATTGCTGTTTTATTAGGCGCAAAATATATGTTCACTAAGAAAACATGAAAACTAATTTCTAATTTTAAGAGCAATTGTGTAAATTGAAATAAGTAGAATTGAATGTGTCATGTAATTTTACCATTATGATTTGAGATAAATTGCATGCATGATCACATTTTCGTTGACCTGATTGGCCTATGTTGCTTACATTGAAGAAATATATGTTTTCAAATAATGATAGTTACCTTTTATTTCATCCGTGGAAGAAAAAATGATATGATGATAATACTATGAATATATGCTTTTAATATATCTATAGAATAAATGTTTTTTTTCGTTTTTGTGTGTCTGTTTTTGTTGTTTTGTTGTTTTATTCATCAATAATAGAAAGTCTCGGATAATTGACATTTGGCTTTTGCCTGATGCTTCATATTAGTGAAGATTATGAAAATTAGGTATTTCCGACAATGTATTAAAAGAATTAGAAAATCCTTATATTATAGATCAAGTTCTAGCTATACATAGTGTAGATTGTCTGTCGGCATTTAGCCAACGTGCTGCTGCTTGTAATAAACATTATTTAATATTATATTATACCAACGCTTAACAATAATAGATTGAGTAATGTTTCTCATTTTATGTACTAATTGAAGTAATGAGTTTGTGTTTTGTGTTTTGTTCTGCAGGTGAATGGTTTCTCTCTTTAGTGTCTTGAATTAAGATCCTAATATTTGCTGTCATAATTGTAGGTTATTCAGTACAAAAAATATTCCTACAACGTTATCCACGTTATATCAGAGATCGGTGGTGTAAACATGTGCATATTGTGTATTCATCGTGTGATGGTGATGCTTTTGGAATAGAAGCGTTGAAATTCTACAAACTGAGAGCAGTAGGTAGTCTACATAAATATTTATTAACAGTTAAACTACATAACTGTAAAAATATGATCCTTTGTGAAGCACACATCAATTTTCATGGTTGTCCATCCATTTAAAATCCAGTTTTTATTTAATCTGCTGTACGATTAATTTTATAACATTATTTGCTTTTATGTTTCGAAAAAAAAAATGGCCAATGAATTTAAAAATCCACGCATATTTTTTTAAAAGAAAAACTACGAAATTTCATGCCAAAGGAATTGAGTGAATTCACAGGAATTCATACATTCATTTTGTCTTATTGTGTTCCTCCATTGTACTAACTGATTTAAAAACTGTTTACGCTATAAAAATAATCACCTTACAAACAGAAGAACAACATCCGGCTTTAGGTTTGTATTTTAAGTGCAACAGGTGCATAATATATGTACAGTATGTACTTTGTGTAATCCATTGTGTTGATTCACTCCAACATCACATCTATCAATCATTACAATATGGATCACATATTGGTGTCCTTGTCACAAAGCAAAGTACCTATCTGAAGCTAAAAAGAGTTTATTGTATATTGTATTTTCACAGGAATACTAAATTATTTACATGAATTCACATTAAATTTTTTGCATTAAAACCAGCAAACAAAAATTTCAAATCATTTCTAAATTTATTGAATCGTGACTTATTTTGTTAAAAGTGTTTAATTCATTATAAATATAAGTATAAAATATTTGATACGGTATAGAAACCATATCCCGTGATTAAAAAGTGTTCAATAGTTAATTTCAAAGAGTCTGAAGCATCTCTGTAATTCTCTTTCTTGTTTCTTCTTGTTTCTATATACATGTATCTGATGTTAATTGTCACATCAAACACATCAATTCGGTAATAAATTTCAACAAATGAATCGTAACAAATGTATTAAAAGGACGGTAAACAAACCCATATTTTAATTTAATTAACAAATGTTATTGCAAGCGACCTGAAACTATTTCAATCTTGTTAAAAAAAAAAGAGTGATAGTGTATTTAGCGTTCAAACAACATAGCTATTTAAATAAAACAACATTATGTAATCTGCTGATACAAAAGAAAAGCAAAACACTGTTACATTCTATTATTTCTTTCCCTGTTCGTTCTTCTGCAAAAGAAGACATTATTCATTAATGCAGTTGCCTATGTCTGACATTCTTTTTCTTTGTTACAGCTAATATAAGCAGCCTTGGTAATAGGAAAAAATATGCATAGAGAACACGGTATTATACATAATTGTATGATGTAATAACTGAATAGACATACAAAATACTACTGTTGGAAGATACAGAGTCGGTAGCAAGCCGATCTTTACAACAGTAAGAATTATGTACAGTGGTAATTCATTGTTTTTGGAGTGTTATTCCTTTTGTTGATATAATGGGATGCTTATAAACTACTTGTGTGATAAGAAATACTTTGAAAAACGCCAAAATATATGTGAGTTTTATTAATTGCATAAGAAATGAGACTCAGAGGATTTATTTTACAGCGGATATTAATTTAAATGCAGCAAATAGGATTCGTTTTTTACTAGTTGCTTTACAATGGATAACATTTGTAAACTGTGTGAGTACCTAGAAGAAACTTCTTTATTTAAATCGCTTTGTTACTGTTTAATTGAAAGATTTCAAACTGTCGTTGAAAATTTACATTGTAAAGCATTTGCAAACAAAACAAATTGAAAAACAAATATTGCTTTCTGTAAAGAAAGAAAAGCTGTTACCGCTTTAATGTTTGTTTAAATCAGAAGACAATTAAAGAAATTAATTGTGAATAAGTATATTTTATAAGTGATAATTATATAAAAATAAATAAAGGAAGTGATATAGACATTTTATAGTTTTTCATACCTGACAACAACATGGTACAAGAAAGTTTAATACGCCGACCAATTTGATATCAATACCGAGGCCTTATCTAAAGTTCTCGTAAACACCAATAGTCTTATATAAACAATACATTACTTCAAAAAATAATGTTTTGTAACAATTGCAACAGTTAAACTTATTTCATATGTTAAATGTTGCTCGTTCTTTATTTTGGTACTGTTACATTGACTGATCCTTTGTGGTCATTGAAACTTATACATTATTGTTTAATATACTGCCGTAGTCGGTGCAAAGGGGCATGAGAAATGTTGCACTTTCAATTTCAAACTTTCTTATGAACAGACTCAATCAATCACAATCTTTATTTTTCAACAAACATCGCAATCACGCCAATCTGTAATTACTTTGAGAAACTATTGTTTGTTTTTTCCACATTTGTTATTTATAAGAAATGATCTTTAAATCCTTAATAATGCAATTTTAAAGTGGAAAACACAGAAATGAGGTAAAGTCGCTTTCAAAGATATTCTTTTTTTAAAAGTTTATGTATACCTTATAGCAATTTGAAAGTTACGAACTATATAAAGAAGTAATTATGTGGATGCCAAACGTAATTACAAGAAAGGTTTGTAAGATAGCATATCAGCAGGGAAGAATATTGTTCAATGATATCAAAGCTTCAGATATATCAGTATATATGGTTTTTATGATAGTTGAACTGCTCTATTACAAACTTAGATAAAACAATTTATCAAATGTATCAATCGTTAGTGCTTACCATGCAAGTAAGCGTAACATGCTGATGGAAATAAAGGCATATTTTTCTTAAGAAAACGATCTTAAGAAAGGACAAACATGAGTTTAGTAATGTTCAAATAATGCTTTTGCATGTAGGATGTATAAATACTTACAGGAAGTAGCACTGAATGTGAAATGATTTAAATAAAGTAGTATGTTGACTTCCATACCCAATTCTAGAACACGATAACTGAACTTATTGCCGATAAACGGCAGAAGCATGGGATGGTTTAGGTAATTTGCCAATGAGTAACCTTTTGGAAACTATAGAAGGGCACAAAAATAAACTGCTTTTGGCATGTAAAAAACAAGAGTGAATTTTCTTTCATTAATGGCCTTGATTTTAAAACTGTTTAATGATTTAACATATTTTGACAACAGTAAATTATTTTTTAGTTTTAATGTACTGCTAGTAAATCATGTAAATTGCAATCGGTAAAACGTCAACAAACACAATTATTATTTAAAACATGTGAAAACACAATGAATTATATTAACAATTTATAAAAGGACACAACATATAATTAGAGAATCTTCACTTATACAACTTTTAACTTTTTGCTACTCGTTTCTGTTCTTTGACTATGTCAAGGTCTTTTGGGACAGTGTAATTGTGTAATATGAGGTCTTATATTGGTAAAGTAAACCAAATAGCTTGTCTGAAATTCCTTTTGCCATTCTATCATTTAACAGGTAATACTTACCTGAACAAAATGTAGAATAAATAAAAAGATGTCCTGTAGACAATGTTTGATAATAGGTTATTGAATAAAATCTTGAAAAATTTAACGCTGATAAATATAGCGAATTTTTTTTTTCTTTTTCGTTATAATAATAAAACTTATTGCAAGTAAGAACATTATACCTTGAATATCAACCTATAGTTAGCTTTGCCAGTGGTTTTATGCATGTCTACCACGTATTGAGTCATTACATTATAAGAAAATATTTTAATTCTTTGGTTCTTATATATGACATTTTCCATCAGTGAGTCTGTCTAATTAAATAACATCAAGAAGAAATGCCAGACTATATAAAATACAACTTTAAATTTTTTTTTTGTTTTTGTTTTTAGTGAAAACTATTTTTTTTAAATAAAATCTATATGTTTGATTGGGAAGGGTATGGCGATAGTTATATAAATAATATTCATGTCGTGAGTGCAAATTAACAAAGTGCCAAGACTGTAATAATCTTGAATTTCTGAGTTTACAATAAAGCAACTATTTTTGTTCAATTTCTTAATGTATTTGAGAGTTATTCTGATATCTTAAAAAAAACGAGCACAGACGCTACAGAAATAATCGTGTTTTTTTAAATAATTAACAGTTCATTATCTAACACAATTATTATAAAATTATAATAAGATTTTAAAAAATTATCTAATTTCTCTTTAATGGTACTTGTGATAAGATAAACTCTGAAATTCATTTTTAGAAAACTTATATTGTTTGCATTCAAATGTAATTTCTTTTAAGTATTTATAATTGTAAAGAATTCATAATAAATACATCTATTATTGAAGATAATTAAAAGGAATGCATTATAATATAAGCGCGTACAAAAATGATCGAAGCACGCAGCATTTATTGCTTTTTCATGTCACAAGGATAATAGGATGTGATGTGTATTGTGATTATTTACGTATATAAGATGAATATATCAGATAAGTTATATCTATCATCGCAATAACGCGGGTGCAATGTTGCAAATGTGATTTTCCACCTTGAAGAGTTAGAATTTAAAAAAAACAGGATGTTGTATGCTTTGATGAGAAAAAAACCCTGGGCAGACAGTTTTGGAATAGATTCATTACACTTTTTTTGTAAAACAAACAAGACAGATAAAGATGCTTACGTACACATAAAAGAAATTTGATTTTTTTTATAGTTTTTAAAGATATGCTCTTCTTTGAGTAAAATAATTTTATCGCAGAACTTTATTGAAATCTATTTAATTCTTACTGAATGTGCCTAATTTGAATTAGACAATGTAAAAACTACACATGTAAAGCTTCATTCCCCATTACAGGTCAAGTAAAGTTGGTCCTTTCTAAAAAAAAAACAACAGCAAGAAAACGGGCTGTTTTTTTAAATGACACTATTGATTCATATTGTGACCTCCTAAAGTGTGTAGAATTTAAAATATAACATATCTACTCTGTGATACATGTTGATTTTATATTTACAAAGAAAAGAGACAGTGTAGCAATTTTCAATATTTTCAAATATCAAATTTGAGTAAGATATATCTTTAAAAGTAAATATAGATGAGCTCTCTTTGTCAAATGACTTAATCATATCTAAGTCTACAATTTCAGAATTTAAGGCTTTTAAATTATCAGAATCCTTATTCTTAAAGGTGTGACAAATGTTAAACAATTGCCCAAACTATTAACATTCTCAAGGTATTTCGTAATCATAGATTCTAATACATTAGTTTACGATTGAGTAGTACTTTAGGAGGTGCCATTGGAGTGAGTGGTGCACTTTTCATAATAACATATAATGTGCTATTTCAAGTATTTTTACTTTTGTGTTCATTGCTTTCAATGCTTTCTTGTTGAGAATCTTAAGTAATAAACGTAATGCACAGGAATGAAATTGATAAATCATATATGCAGCAAATAACTTCTCCTAGAATATAATGAAAAGTACTTTTAGGGATACATTCATTTGAGGTTTATGCACCAGAATCTTTAGAGAAATAAGTAGCTACTCACCAAACGTATAAGTTTGTAACTATTGCTTTGTTTCAACCAATAGCAATGCCTTAAAAATAACATTAACAAAATAATATGGTCGACATACTTCAGATGCTGTTAATAAACGAAACACAATGTCAAAACAAAAACAACTGTTGCTGAATAAGAACTTCCCACTCAATATTACTTTAGATAACAAACTTTGATCTAAGTATCTAAACAGGCGCGATTTAATATTTTGTTAGCGTAAAGCACAAAATCTCTTTTTATGTGTACAAGCTTATTTAAAACAATATACCGCGTTTTTCTTTATTTGTATAATCAATATTTTAATAAGAAGAAATGATGTTTCTTGTAAATACTTTATAATTTCTTTATGTAAATCTAATTTCCACATTTTTCACAATTTGATTATGCTGTTTCTGACAATTTTCGATGTATACTTTACATGCTTTTACTTGTTTTACAAATTAAGCATGCAGTTTACATAACATGACCATGTGCCCGTTACAAGAATCTAAAATGTGCAAATTGCATTGATTGTGTAACTAAAATAAAATAAATCATGACAAATTACAAAGGAAATGAGCATGCAACAAATAAACGGAAAAGTATCGTTAGAAGGACAAGAGTAAGAGATACTACTAATGGATTAAATATTGCAGTGCATTAATCAGGGCACATTTTTGTCTTCTTGCGAATGTTATCAATGAATGTTATCACTATAAGCATATTTCTTTGACAGTAACATGTTAACATTTAGCTATTGGATATATAATTTTCTTATAGCTCAACATACCATTCCCTTTTAATTTTCTTATCATCACGCAAGTGACGTGAACTTATTTAATATTTCATAGGAATGCTCACCACAGATATTTTTGTGTCTGTTTTGCTTTCCATTGGCAATGATACAAATTTTTGCAACGAACGTCTACTCGATTGCCTTTTTGTATACCGTAATAAAATTCCTTAATGCTATGTTTGAGAAAATGAACATAAAATATATATATAAATCTAAGAATAATTAGATATGTGTACAGATTTTAAAAGGTTGAATCTACTAACAGTTTGCTTAATTACAACATGCTCACTTAATGTCGATTTTTTTGACAGTTGAACATAAATGATTAAAAGAAATCTCAGTAAATTAATATGGACTGCATATGTTGTAAATTGTACTTGCAGTCTGCAATTATTGAATGTTATTTAGTAGGGCCTCAGTTAGTGAATGTTTAAGGCAGTGCATAACAAAGATATTTAGATAATTCTTCCAATAAAAATGTAGGTTTGATTTCAGATTGAAAACATTTTTTGTAATTACTTGTAATAATTGGCAATTGTTTGTAATTCTTTCAATGAAAACAACATATACTTTCAATTTACCTGTACAGGTATCTATTAAAAATAGTAAAAGGGCAAAAATGAAATTGGGCATTATGAGGAAAAAATCAATTATAAATAACTATTGTAAACATTAATGCATTACCATTAATCTTTATAAATGTTTTCCAAAGAAATATAAAAATTTAGAAAGTACCTTTATACTAACAAACAACTAAAACGTTTACAATTCTTATACAGTGTACAGTGCCTTAAACGATCAAAGTAATTAAAACGGAATCTTATAAATTCGTTTAATCATTAGTTTCTATTTATATCATAATGATAAAATGAAACTTAAATGCATCCCGGTAAAGCAAAAGTAAAGTGAATACCCATGAAAAATACATTTTTTCAAACTGCTAAAAACTGAGATAAACAGTTTTACAAATTACAGTCAAATGTCAGGCGACAATGCATTTATTTAAACTAATTTCAATTGCGTGAAATGTAATTCATATCAATTAAAAAGATACTATATGCAGAACGTATTACAAGTCGTTCTTAAATTTTTAATGACATTGTCTTTTATTTAGTAGGAAGAGGATTTATTGCTATTTGACTAGTGTGACGTTCATGTTCACTTTAAACATGAAGACTTCTAATCCTGGAGCAATTGTGTAAATTGAAATAAGTAGAATTGAACGTGTCATGTTATTTAACCATTAACATTAGAAAAAGATATATTGCCGGCATGATCGTATTATCATTGACCTATGTTCCGTGAATATAGACAAAAGAAATTATGTTTTCAAATAAATGATGGTTACTTTTCATTTCATCAGTGGAAAAAGTTGATATGACGCATTTGAAAATAAATCAAGCTTTGAAATGAAAGATGTGGTTGCACTCATTTAAAACGCTAAATAATGTATATCTAATAAACGTACATTAAGAAAGTACGAAGTATCTCGATCAATGAATCGGAACGGTGACACGCTATTAATAAATGCATAGTGAAATGGAACTATATAATACTTTTAGTAGATTGACATTTTAAAGTCCCGAATAATACTTTTTGACGTGTGACGTTTGATAATAAATATTAGTTAAGATAACGAAAAATAGGTCTTCTTGTACATAGACAATTTATTAAAAGGATCAGCAAATTCCAATTATATATTAGATAAAGATCCAAACGTATATTTCTAGCTATACATTGTGCAGAGTGTCTGTCGGCATTTGGCCAGCATGTTGCTTCTTGTAATAGACGTTATTATAGTATTATATTATATTAACGCTCAACAACAATAGATTGAGCAATGTTTCTTATTTGATGTACTAATTGAAGTAATGAGTTTATGTTCTGTTCCGCAGGTGAATGGTTTCTCTATTTCTTTCTTGAAAATTAGAATACTAATATTTTCTTCATAATTGTAGGTTATTCAGTACAAAAGATATTCCTACAACGTTTTCTCGGCTATCGGGGATGTTAACATGTGCATTCGAAGTGCGACGGTGATGCTTTTTGATTCTGCAAACTGAGAGCAGTGCGTAGTCCATATGAATATTTATGCAGGCTTCATTCAATTATATAAATTTAATGTAAAAAACATAATTCTTCGTGAGCAACATTATTATTTACTGCACTTTGAATTTGATATTTAAACCATTTACGCTATAAAAATAATCAACTTGCAAACAGAAGTACAACATCCGGCTTTTGTTTGTATTTTAAGTGTAACAAGTGCAAACATGCATGTATATACAACATAAACTTTGTATAGACCATGTGTTGATTAAAAAAAAAAACATTTATCAAATATTACAATATGAATCACATACAGTTTTGCTTGTGACTTATTAAAGTACCTTTTTGAAACTAAATTCGAACTATTTTTATGTTGAACAAAATACCTTTCTGAAACTGAATTCGGGTGTATTGTATCTATTGTAAATTGATACGTCAATCACGAATAATTTAGGTAATATTTTCCATAACAAATATGAATCAATACAAATGTACAATAAGGGCGTTAATTCCATACATATTTTGATACAATTAACAAATGTAATCGCAAGCGTGATGTAACAATTTTAATTTCGGTAAAAAAGTGTGGTTATAATGTATTTGGTGTTTAAATATCATAGCTATTTAAAAAGAACGTATATAATCTACTGATACAAGAGTTAAAAAATATTGTTACATTGCATTAGTTCATACCAAGGTTGTTACCTTGCAAAAGAAGACATTATTCATTTATGCTGTTGACTATAATTTCTGACATTTATTTTCTCTTGTTGTAGCTTATATAAGCAGCCTTGGTAATAGGAAAAATATGCATAGAGAACACGGTATTATACATTATTGTATGATGTAATTACTGAATAGACATACAAAATACTACTGTTGGAATGTAAAGAGTTGGTAGCAAGCCGATCTCTACAATAGTACAAATTGTGTGTACTGGTAATTCGGTGATTTTGGAGTGTTATTTGTCATGTTGATAGAATGGAATGCTTATAAACTACTTGTGTGATAAGAAATACCATGAAAAACGTCACTTTTTGTGAGTTTTATTAATTGCATAAGAAAGGAGACTAAGAGGATATATTTAAAAGTGGATATTAATTCAAGAGCGGGAAATAGGATTCATTTTTGTAACTAGTTGCTTAGATTGGATAATATCTATACACTCTGTGAGTACCTAGAAGAAATTACTTTTTTTAAATCGCTTTTACTGTTAAATTGAAAAATATCAAACACTTGATGAAATTTTACATTGCACAAACAAAGATTCTGAAACATTTTTAATATTGCTCAAAGTATAAAAAAGAAAAGCTGTTATCGCTTAAATGTTTGTTAAAATCAGGATCAATTGTGAATTAGCGGTTAAAGTCAATACATTATTGTTATTGTTAGCCAGTACAAACGGACATGAGAGATGTTGCATTTTCAAGTATATCTTACGAACAGAATCAGTTTATCTCTGTTTTTATTTTCCATGTACATCGCAGTGACTTTTGTTATTACTTTGGGAAACTATTGTTGTTTGATTTTTTCAACTTTAATAATGCTATAATTAATATTTTAATGTTTCGTAATACATGTACATTGGCAATTTGAAAGTGGAAAACAGAGAAATGAAGTTGTCACTAAAAAGATAATATAGGGTCTATGTATACTTTTGAAAGTAACACAATTTTTAGAGAAGTGTTTATATGGATGCGTAACGTAATTACAAGAAAATTGTTTGTAAGATAACAAATTAGCACACAAGAATATTGTTTATTATTATCAATTATCAAAGCTTCTATATAAAAATAGTTGCAACTGCTCTTAGACTATTAAACTCTTTGATAAAAACAATTCATCAAATTTATCAATCTCATGTGCTTATCATGCAAATGAGCAGAGGGTTATGATGGAAAGTAAAGCACAAGAAAATGCCTAAGAAAAGATCTTTTAAAAACCTAAAGTCAAACATGAGTTTAATGATGCTCAAATTATGGTTTTAAAGCATGTAAGAAGCTTAAATTGAAAGTAGAAAGTAGCGATGAAGATGAAATAATTTGCCATGAAAGTATCAAAATGTTAACGAAGTAGTATGTTGACTTCTATACAAAATACTAGAACACAATAACTGTATAAATTGCAAACAGACGTCAATAGCAAGGGATGGTTAAGGTAACAATGATTAATCTTGGAAACTATAACAGGGCACGAACCTTCATTTTTCGGGCATAAATGGCTTTAACATTAAAAAAAAACTATATCCTGTATGTTTTTTTTAAATATTCAATGTTCTACATATTGGAAGACAATAAGTTAATGTAATGTTTAAAAGAAAGTTTGGTAATTTGTTAAAGTAAGAATTATTATTCAAGTCAAGTGAAAGCACATTGTTTTTCTTTATAAATTACTTACAAAAGGACACAATATTTTACACATATACCAGATAATGTTCATTAATACTGGTATTTAAAAGAAAATGATCAATTAAAATTCACTTTTCATAAATATATGTGTATACCAGCGAAACATTCTGCTATTCGTCACCGTTCTTTGACTACGTCTAAATTCATTTAGTAAGGCCTTTTGGGACAGTGTATTGTGTAATACGAGGGCTTATGTTTCAGTCGGTAAATTAAACATATAGCCTGGCTGAAAATTCCTATTGTCCTTCAATTATCTGACACGTAATATTTAGTTGAACAAATGTAGAAGAATTGAAATTGAAAAGATTTATTTAGCTTTTGTAGACAATTATTTGATGTTACTGAAAAAAAGTTGTGACAAATAACGAAGATAAATATACAACATAATTACATCCCTTACACGGACGTGAACTGAATATAGTAAGTAAATAAAGCAATACAGGTGTTGTTCATTTCGTTTCATTTCCTGATTTATAGAAAAATTTCAGTTCACTATCAAAAAAACAAATAGTTTGGTTCCAGCCCAGACAAGGAGATGTGTAAGAAACAGTCTCAAAAAAACGTAAATCTGAAATTGCAATTATATTTCGTCAGTGTTACTTAACATACTCATATTAACCGCTGCACACGATAATTAAATGTAGAACTTTGATTGTTCTCAAGGGCAACAAAATAGCATATTCATACTCATTGGCAGACGAACCATCATTATTTTGAAATAAACGTGTAAGTAGCAAAAACTGTACTGTATTATGTTCCCGCCTTTAATACACAAATAGTTCTTGAAAGCCATTAATTTATGTTTATATTATTTCAACATAACGTGAGGAAATCCAATATTTATGAAAAAAGAATCATCAAATTAAAGAAGATTTTGCTTGTTGGAGTGAATATGACTTAGTTTTATTGTTATATTTAAATTACAAATTTATGTTAAGTGATTAAATTAACTAAAACGCGTACAGGAGTAACACGATGTAAAGAACGTTTTCATTATTTCACGAAAATGTATATGGTTACAGCTATTCAACATATTAAAAATTTAGAATATCACTAAAATTTCACAATACACTGTCTCCAAAGACGTTAGTGAGTTCAACAGTTGACCAAGTCAATGAAAATAAAAAAAGGTCTTAAATAAGACCTAAGGCCATGTAACACAGAATCGTTAATGTAACATTTATTTTTAAAAACGAAATTAAATGATATTAACTAACCTGCATTTGCTTTGAAAACTATTTCAGCCGGTAAATATGGAAAAGTTTGTTTTTATAAAAACATGTTTTATAAAAAAAAATCTTCTTTTTTTTGTCTTGTATGAATATCGTTTTTTAATGAAATCAATTGTGAACAGATTGATACTTAGACTTCAAATGAAGAGAACTTTATACATGCAAATTGTAATTTAGTCCTATTTGATTAATTTGTCTCTATCTTGGTGCAATTTATCATTCTGTACAAATCATGTCTGGGAAGCAACCGCTGATGTCAGATCAGATCTTGTCAATGCAAGTGTAAATTAACAACTCGAAATCCATCGAATACTCTAAAATCTGTGTAAAGCCATAAAATAGATATTCTTTGGTTAATATTCAAACCTACCTTTTAACACAATCATAAGGAGTTAGTTTCGTTATTTTATCGCCAATACGCAATAAAATAGGTACTTGCAACCGTAAAAACTTAAATTACTTGGATCTTTGAAACAAGAATTACATGTATACTATATACTCTTATCTATCTATCAATATTTGCTTATTGTCACATCAAAACGATTTCTGTACATCAGTATCAAAGTAAGGCTTAATATTGGATCTTCACAAATTGATCTCTTATTCCTTAAAACACTTCTAAAGCTTATCATAATTATCTTTTATGAAAACTAATGATCAACCATATGTCTACATATAATTTGATACTATGAGTACATTTTCATATTTCAGAACTATAACCACTTGCATATGAATTTTGGAAAAAATTTCAAAATCAAAGGAAAACAAAACATGATTGGCAAAAGATTAAATATCAAAGTCGGTCTAAATGGACTTATCGATACTATGAAATAGAGATTTCCGTCAAATAACATTAACAAATCATTTTTATCACACTTAAGGTTATTTCGGAATGGCAATAACTCTGTTTGAGACCGATGCATTTATGCTATATGTCCCTATTTATGTATCCGATTAAGATATATTTACAATTAATGTATACAGACTTTTATCACTAATATTATAGCAATCATATTTACCAAATGTTTGTTCTTTAATCTTTCAGATACCAGAAATAAATAGAATAGTGTGCTTCATCGGTAGGGATGAAAGTAAATATGTTTTATAATACGAAGCTTTTGCATTTTTCAAGTGAAAGAGCTTTTTATGGTATTCTTTATTAAAGTACATGCTTTAAATGCTTTATAAAACTTGATCATGAAAATGTTCCTGCAAGGGAACTGTTCTTGATATATTTGCACACTATGCTACTGTGAAACTATACATGGATAATTATGCATACTTAAGACTCTGAAACCTAATTCATTTCAAATAATCGTCTGATCAATTTAGTACTGATGTGCAGTCGTTCAAAGAGTTTTATAAACAACGTTATAAACGTAATAATAGAGGAAATATAGAAAGAGTGCAACCCAGAACAAACATGATTTCTAATGAAACATTCACAAAGTTTACCTTTGTACTAGAATAAGTTGGAAAATACAAGTATTTTATAACACATTCTTCGATTTTTTATAATCTTGTTTGGGTTACGTATACGTAAATTCAGAAACAAAATGTCTAGCAAACTGTCGTGTAAAATGGTGTTGCAATACTTTTTGATACAATTAGAGAAAAGTATGTATATCCTATATTGTAATTATGAATATAATGTATTATATTTCAGTTGCATATATGGAAATGTTCATCAGTCTGTTTTCATGAGTTAGAGACAGGATAATATATAAATGATACACATTTTTCTATTTTCAGGCTGATCAAGGCAAAGTCATTTTGGGAATAAAACTTTCGTTTCGGTAATACGGAAGTGGACACATATGACAGTTAGAGATAAGATACAGTGATCTCGTAATGTTTCTTCTTCATGCAGCTAATGATATAATTAAAATTAACCAGGATAATCTAAAACTTAAATAGGAATTTGAGTAAAACAAACAAAGAATCAACAACAGAATATCAATATCCTATTTTGAAAGTAGACAATCAATGACCTAGTCATTTCTTACTGTGAAACGGCAAAATGGGTGATAAAACAGATGAAGGAAATTATAGACCAGAAGGCAAACCAAATATCACCAAATGTTCAAAATTAAAATCAGAAAATCAGAATAAAAAGACAAAATTTACACCAGAAACTGAGGCAAAAGATGTCAAAAAGCCAAATTTAATCACTAATGTTCCGGATACAAATCTTCCACTCGCTTGCCTTGTTTCTTTATGTTTTAATTTTCCATTAGGTATCATTGCAATGTACTTATCGCTTTCCGCCGCTAGACTTTATAGAGATGGAAATGTTGTAAGAGGTGAAAAGAGAGCAAAGTTATCTGTGTTTTTAAGTCTGTTTAGTATTGTAACAACTGTTCTTATTGTAACGGCTATAGTTGTTTGGATTGTGATAGACAATCAGACTAAAAGGGAAATGAAGAAATTAAAAACCTGATTTTTACACTACAAAAGGTGATAAGAGTGAAGTTGTATTTGTGTCCAACAAAGAGATTGTGACAGTTATAGAGAACCAACAATTTTGTGAGCATAAAATCATGTAAAGTGTGACTACTTTGTTGACAACAAAATTATTTAGAGCGTAGTAACTAAAGTATACACAAACGAATCATAACACTCAAATGTTTGCCTGTTGATGCCTTTTCAAAGTTTTATTTTATCATTGACAGATAAGTGTATTTTCACTCAGTATTTTATAATCAAACTTTTTACATTTTCATGCTTTTTGGTTACATTATTTCAGAAAAGATTTTTAAGACATATGTCTAAAATACCAGGTGTTACGATTTATAATTCAAAATTGTTTGATGCCAGTCTATCCGTCCATTAGCATTATATGATTTTAAACATAGTATGAAATGAATTGTAAAATGATATATCTTCTGACCAAGAAATAACTGAATTAACTAAATGTTTATCTGTTATTTGCATATTCTTGATAACGCATTTTAGGATGAAAACAAATCAGTATTGTTTTAACAACGAGTGGATACAACATATAAATAATGAAACATCGAGAAAGGGATAAGTGTTCTGATCATATCTTCTAGTTACAATATTACACAAATGGCAATCAGTATTACTTACAATAACATAGCTCAAAGAAACAGCACATTGCCAATATTCCAATTATAAATATGGATCTTTTTGTTTGTATTGTTTGCAATTGTGAGTTATTACTTTTGATGAGCCTTTAAAGACCATTGTTGTTTACCTTTTAAATGTTTTAAATTAGATATAATCATGGTGCTTCTTTTTTGTAAAAAAACAACACCAAAAAAATAAAAAGCGATAACATATCATTATAAAACTTTTTTATGAATAATGTGAATAAACAAAATATTTAAATTCATTCAATTGTAATCATGGATTGTCACTTCAATACAAGACGAAATTTAAATATTTGCATAATAACAAAGCTTATACGCCTTCATATTGATCGTAACATGTAAATAATTATACTGTATCAGACTAGAAGACTAAGTAATGTTTTCATACGTAGCATAACTGTCCAAAATTATTTTTTTTCCATCCATAAGCAGTAAATTTTCGGTTCCACGTTGTTCAGAAAGGGATGTGCGGCATAAACGAATACATCAACATGCAATTTTCTGAACATATTTCACATTAGAAATTATTTTGCAGTTACTGTATTAGTAAAGTTATGTATATGTCGCCATTGAGTTTATATTTTATTTTTATATTTTTAACCCGAATTGTCCCAAATTGTAGCCTTATAATATTAAGGCATTTTACCAAAAGGTTCAAATGGAATCATGCTTTTATGCTTTTATCTTTTTTTGATATTTGTCTGAGAATAAGCGTTCATATTGTGCTAATGTATAAAAATAAAAAGCTGTCGGTGTAAGTTGTGCGCATACAATTAAGTTGATAATAGAAATTAAGCGTAAGGAAAGTTTATTAATTTGTTCAGAAGAATACTCATTTTACAATCAAAGCAACCAATTAAGTTGCTTATAAATTTTATAAAATTAACTTTTTTACCCTCCAGCATATAACTTATCATTCAGATCATGTCTGTGGATATTTAGTGCCTTATGTTATAATGTTGGTGGTATTTAGTACTACTATTATACAACAAATCACCTAAAAAGATGATGTTTGTGAGAGGTATAGTCCGATTCAATATCTCTCTATACATATTACAGATATAATAAAATTGTCCAGAACAAACAATTATTAGTCACAATATAAAACTTTATACTTAATTATTTGTAACTCTTCAAATATTCTTTTCAAGAATATCATAATTTCTGTTGTTTTTATCTATCTTTGAAATACTGAAAAGAGTGCACATTATAAAACAATCCACATTAATCATTGCAATAAAGTGCTATATAATCAATTATTGAACATGTATCTTTGCAATGTTAAATAGACAGCTATACTCCTGAAAACTGTATTCATTGTTATGTATCGACAATATTGTTAATATATCAGTATTAAATTATTTTCACAATATTTTGCTTATTTTTTGTAATTTCCAACATAAATATCCTTTAGTTAATTATGCGAAGTTTGTTTGTATCTTAATAATGCGAAGTCTTTGGTAATGTTTAACGTTCGTAATGTTTAATACTCTTTTAAAGATTTTAATCGGCCTTTTTATCTCTAAAAAAATATATTGATTTTCAATTCAATCATAAGGGCATTATGTACATATCTGGAAACGCATTGCTATTTGATAAAACAAAGTTGAATTTTAAATAGATGCTTATATAATATTTTTGATGAAAAGCTCTTAACATAGATATTCAAATATTATTCGTGTTTTTAAATGGCATGTTGTTAGAAAGACTTTCTGTTTGAATGTATGAAGCTAAGAAATTTTATGAATATTTTTATGTGAACATTTCTTTGTCCGGCCTTTTGGCATTCTTTTCTTTTTTACGATGGGTATGGCTATATTCTGGGATAAGAATATTTCATAAACATCAATGTCAAACCTCAAGTTTGTATTGTCATCGACCTCTTGAAAAGCATTAAATAGAAAAGGTTTTGTCAGTGACGTTATATTGTACTGTGCAGAAACTGGATGATTGCCAAAAACTTAAATAAAAGCAAATGTCTACGGTCGGCACTTTAAATCGCTATGCAGCAAACAAATTCACATTAAAATAGACAGTCTTAATGGGCCACCAGGAAATGAAGTCTTCTACGCAACTCATTAACACATTAGAGCCGAAATAATGCATCTTCATTGCGCATCAATGATAATAAATTGAAATCAACACGTTCAACTTGCCTTCAGGAATAAAGTACACTTTAACAAGTGTTAGCATATTATAGTCAGAATGAGAAACTTACTTGAATAGCTTTTCCAATTACAAACAGATGCATTACTGCAATCAAATGCAAATTATTAAATGGAATTTAAAATCGCACAAGTGCCGTGCACCATGATTAGGACAAATCAAACTCAAATTTGATTGCACCTTCTTCCTTAATACTGAATGATCGATGTTTTCCTTTGCAATTTCTTGGGTTTTTTTTCTATATTACTCACCAATACTATATGAATTAAATACATAGAAAGTGTTTGTCTGACCCAATTTTTTTCCATGCTATTTACGTCTATATTTAACACAAAATAGTTATTTTCAACTGCTTTCGTTTCAGTTACAGTATTCAATAAGAATGTCTTTAAATGAACTTTTTGTGGTTAACTGGTAAATCTTCATCTTATCGATAAATTGTAGAAACACACGTTTCAATTGAGAAGTAAAGGTGAGAGTATTTTTATTTTCGATTTATTCGTATTAAGACTTTTTTGATTAAGACTTTATTTGTATTAGCTACAGAAACTTGTGTCGGGTACGGGACAAACATTCGCCTCTCAATCCAACTAAGACAAGTAAAATGGTTTCCTGCGGTGAACATTTTAATGATATAAAGATATTTCATTTAACTATTTTCAACATTATTTGGGGGGAATAAATAAACATTTGTATCAGGAATATAGTTGACAATTGAATAAACAATCAATATAGAAGAAGGTCTTTGGAAACTGGTGACCGTTGAAGACCGGAGAAGGTTGAACATAAAACAATTATTTCTTTTTAAGAAAATGCATAAATAGGCCTACCATTTTATGAATAATTCCGAGCAAAAAATAAATAAAGTAAACACACCAGTTTACGCAGAATATATCTCTATTTATTATGGCAGACGCCACTACGAATATTTTAATTTTGTAGATTTTCAGTATAAACAATTTATTGTTTGTAAAATTTGATAGATATTAAAGAAACATTGATAATTTTCAAACACTACATTCAAGTTTTTCCACCTTAAACGGTAAAATAATTATAGAAAATTAGAAATATCCCGTAATAGTTTTTTGTTCTTAATTAGGTGTAATTCGGACTAATTCCCTACATGTAAATCCGTAACGTACCGGCAAACGGTATTTAGCTAGGTTTTCGAAAAGGTCTATTTACCAATCATGTACCGAAAACAGGTCACGTGCTCCTCCATGCCTCAAAAGTTAAGCGCGTACCAATTCCCTGCGGTCTCCAGACCGCAGGGAATAAATGTTGCAACCATTTGATAGTAGATTAATTCACTATTAGTTTAATAAGTTTTTGTTATGTTTTGTTGTAATGGCAATGTAATCCAATTCTAAGGTCTAATTCTGTATCTGTTCATATGAAATGTGTAAAGGAAACATATGCATGTTTGACTCAACTTTTACAGATTATGTCTACAACAATTAACAAAAATAATTAAATGATGTAATAACATAGACAATGTATCGTCAAAGATTTTGATATTACAATTAGATCTACTTTAAAGAAAAAAATATATTATATGATGCTGTTATTTCAATTATTTCTTATGAACAAACCCATACTGACCAGATCTAAAAGTTTAACCTATTTATATATTTTCAATAAGAATAATATAATAATTAGCATTTATGTAATGATTTGAATTTTTTTTCTTAATGGTTGTTTTGTAGAAAGGAAATGCATTTAATCAGAAACAAACTGTGACTTTTTTTATGTGAACATTAATTCTATCTTTCTCATTAGAAATAATTCAACGACCACATCAGTACTGTAAAATGTAAGGTTATATTCGAAGAATATACAGTAGTGAATGTCAAATCTATTAACTACCTGTTTTTAAATCGAAAATCATAAACTAATGTCAAATTTGATGTATGATAGCTGTTTTTCTGCACATAATGATTACAAATGTGCATGAACTGAATCTTTGCCAGAATGAAACATAAGTATACGCACAAACGTCAACGGTCGGCATTTAACATCGCTATGAAATTAAGATTGGCAGATTAAATGAGCCTTCAGAATATAAACTCTTCTATGACAAGTGAAACCTATAACAGTCAAAACAATGCATACTCCACTATGCCAATAGCAAATTGTTGCATGTATGCAGTTAATTCCAAAACATTCTGGAATTCCGTGCAAAGGTAATAGATCTTACTGATGTTGTGTACCATGATAAGAGCAAAGCAATCATAAATTGGATTGCACCTTCTTCTGTAATACTAAACACTTGATCTTTTTCTTTTCACGTACTTTGTTTATTTTGCACTACCTTTGCTTTCAAATTTTAAAGGGCTTTTAAATCAAACGCCTATAGAGTGTTTACATATAAATATTTTCCTTCCTGTAATTTAACAGCCAACAACACTGATATCATAAAAAGACGCTTTCAACTGATGAGATTGTATAAATAATTTTTCATAGATTAAATCATTCGTATGTTTATTTCATAAACCATGTATTTCAAATGTTAATTTATATGACCAACCTCTCACTGATAAATCTTTTAGCTTGCAAAACACATGTGATATTGTTTTAAAAAACGATGATTGTAATAACAGATACCGTGTCTTGTTTTATTCACTTATCTTGACCAATGACTGACACGTTACGAGAATGTTTGAAATTTAGCTTAGCAACAAATTATTTTTTGACAAGAAACCATTGCTTGAAGTAAAAGGCGGAAAGGCGATGGTTCCTGTCAAAAAAAAAAATAAACAATTAAAATAAAATAAATAGAATAATTCAAATATGTAATTAAATGCCTATTATCGTCAGAAAAATGTCACAGCGTTTTTAAACAAAAGTATATGATACTGAGTCGGGTATTAACACAACTACTTTATTCGTTTTTAAATTTAAGCGCGTTCATTTTTTTTCAATCAAAGTTGAATTAAGAAGCAAAGAAATCATAAGCAACATAAAAAATACTTAAATAAGTTGTGGCCAATTATTTATCTTGCACATTGAACACGTAGTGAAATCATAAAATTGCATCTTATTTCTAACGGAACTTGTAATAATATGATTTTTACATTTGTTTTGATTAATTAACAATAGTTTTTTTTGGTATATCAATACCATTCAAATATTCATAATCCAATATAATTCATATTACACGAATAAGAAACAATATCATCTATCAATTACTTTAATTTAAAGGGAAACATTATGAGAAAGATACAAAGATTGAGCCACATTTCCATGAAAGAAAAATAAAAGGATATGTGTGTATTGAATTAATTATTTCCTTTTTATCAGATGCATGTATATATATGATGTAATCATCATAATGACCTGAGTGCAATGTTTCCAACATGTGTCTTACACATGGTAAAGATATAGTACAAAAAGCTGGATGATATATGTTTTGATGTAGAATGTGTTTTTTCCGCTGAGCAAACAGTTTTTAAGCTGGTTACATGCAGTGGAGAATGCAGTGGCAACTTAAATTCGGAAATATAGATAAATGTGTATTACTCTTGCAGTCAAATAAGCAGACCCAATCAATCAAACAGAGCTCACAATGTTCACGTTTTTATTTCGCTTATTAAATCAAATGGCCATGCGGTATCTTCCTATATCAAACTTGTTTTCTATTATAATCATATGCCAACTACTGTGAGACAAAATGTTAAAACTGCCCTTTTTTCTATCTCAATAATGTTACAAATTAATGTTCACTCAGGTTCATGAATTCATCTACTGTATTTGTAATAGTACATCTGCCAGTGTTGTAAGAGGTGCTTGTTTGTAGTTTTTGCCTAACAGGGATCTACTTATGATATTAAGACGTTTTTCACAAATAGTATTCACCTGAAGACTTACAGGAAATTATTGCTCAGTATTCTTACTTCAAATGAAATACATTGATCTATTTTCATAGAGGCGAAATATTAGATGATAAACATCAATATTCTTTCGTTTTTTAATATTCAACATTTAACTTATTTTGATATTTAATGTCATTACATGATGCGGTTCCGTGTGCTATATTTTGCGTAATTTGATAACAGAAAAAAATGAATTTTAAATGTGTTTCATCACAACCGGTGTAGAAATTATTTCATATTTCAAATTATTGTTAATCACATTGTAAGATTGGTATTTTACTTAATTTGCAATCATACATATTTAGATGAAAAAATATGGCTTACAAAGGAAT